CTAATGAGAACCTAACAACTAAACAACGCTAATATCACAATTCATCAGGTAAAAATCACAAATTAAATACAGATTAAAACTATTCAAAATTATTATTACAATATCAACGCCGCAGTCAAAATACTATTAAAACTAATGTTACAAATTTACTAATCCCGAAATTTAGCGATCTAATTCTGTTTACTATTAATAATCTGAGATCACTCGGATTGTAAAGCTATCAAAATGGCTGGAATAAAGGTTGTTTAGTTGCTTTGGGTAAGTGGACTATTTATGGGATTTTCATGGGTAATTGCAGCAGTAATCATTTCTCCCATGAAATCAACAGGGAGTCAAATTTCACGGACCATAAACCAAAATACCATGGAAAGGTAATTAAAGTAGTGAGAAATTTTTCATGGGCCATTAAAAATTCCCTGTTAATTAAGGGGGTTTTCATGGGCAAGGAATTTTACATGCCATTAAAATTCCATGAAATTGACAACAGGAAAATCTAGTGATAATTTACGTGGTGTGTTTTCCAAAAACATGAAAATCCCATTAAATTACATTTCACGACCTCATAAAATTTAATGGCATTTCCATGGATTTTTAATGTATTTGATTTCGGAATGGAAATTTCATGGGCCATTAATTGGGAATTTTTAACGGCATTTTCATGGGATTTTTAAAGCTTTTTTTATAGGATTTTTTCCATGGAAACCCCATGAATTAAACCATGAAAAACCTGTTAAAACGGCATGAGAACCTTGTGATTTTTCCATTGAAATATTCACAAGATTTTAATGGGTTTTGGTTTTATAGTGGAGGGTTCAAAAGTTCATGTCACTAGTTGGAATTGATGGATTTTCATCCACTTTGAGTTCGAATCTGCTTTGCCGAGGTCCTTTCATTGGTGTCGTGATTTTGATACCATATGTAGCAGCATAAATCTCAATGATTAGCTATGTAACTTTGAACTTCAGAATTTGTGGCTGTTTTTTCACTTGCACAATTATTTTGGCTAGATAAAGTTGGAAAAGTCCGGAAATGCAGTGAAAACAGTGCGTCTTGAGTTAATAGCGAGTTAAAAATGCACGCTGTTTTCACGAGAAAAACGAAAGTGATTATCTAGCTAATATGACTGGAAATTCAGGCCAAGTAATACTACCTCGTGAGATGGTCTAACTA